CACCAAGTGCAAAGTCTGAAACATCGGTATGCATTTCGAATGGTTTAGTCATATCCGGTAAGGCTAACACCAGGTTCGTCCACATAGATTTCTTCAACTTTTCGAAAGCTTTTTGACTTTGGGATGACTAGTTCCAATCCTTATCCTTCTTTGTCAATTCTGTATATGGCAATGCAATTTCTGAGTACCATTTCATAAATCTTCTATATTAATTGCATAACTCGAGAAATGAATGCACATCGTGGACATTCTTTAGTGGTTGCAAATCTTTGATGGGTGTAATCTTCTTCGAATCCATGTGTATTTTGCCTTTTTCGATGATGTGACCTAAGAAGCTGATAGACGTTTGAGCGAATGAGCATTTAAACGGTCTGACATAGAGTTCATTCTCTCGTAGCCGATTGAAAACCTACCTTACATGTTTCACATGTTTCTCCAATGTCTTGCTATAGATAACTATGTCATCTAGGTACACCACTGTAAAATAGTCCAAGAAACCGTGAAGTACCTGATTTATCATTGTACAAAACGTTGTTGGAGCGTTTGTTAAACCAAAAGGCATTACTTTGAATTCAAAGGCTCCATATCTTATTACTACCATAGTCTTTGCTTCATCTCCCTCTTTGATTCAAAGTTTCCACTATCCGGACCTGAGATCAATCTTTGTATAGTATCTCGCCCAACTTAGTCGGTCGAAGAAATCAGTGGCCAGCGAAATATGATAACTATTCTTTACAGTGATCTTGTTCAAGACTCGATAGTCACAACACATTCTAAGATAACCATCGGCCTTTTCTGAAACAACACGGGAGCTCCATATGGTGATTTCCCAGGCACGATAATCCCACTTTCCAACATTTCTCCCAATTGTATCCGAAGTTCTTCAAGTTCCGGCTGAGACATACGGTAGGGTGCCCTGGTGGGAGGTTTGGCACCTGGAATAAGTTCAATCTCATGATCAATCGTCCTCCTTGATGGCAATTTCTTTGGTAACTCATCCGGCATGATGTTCTCAAATTCCTTAATAAGCCTCTTGATAGGTTTTGGAATAGGGCCAGTTACATCTTCGATCTCCTCTAATCGAAGAGTGCACAAGAATAAAGGTTCATTCCTTTTGAAACCCTTACCATATTGCATGTCCGAGATACTCTTCTCGCCCATCTTCTTAGCTTGTGTACTAATGACGCACGGTTTACTACTCATCATCATTAATAAATCGGAACATGGAAACACTGCTGTCTTAGTATTCCGAAGATATCCCAATCCTAAAATAAGCTCGAAGTCATCCTTCTGAACTACATACAAGTTTGTCCTTCCCTCGAAAGGACCGCTTTGAACAACTGCTACTCCGGCTATTGGTTGGGTAGTAGAGTTGATTGCTTTGACCTTCCCACTACCTTTCTCCAAAACAAGTCTGAGTCGCTCCACTGCAGTACTCGCGATGTAATTGTGGGTAGCACCAGTATCTACTATAGCTCTGATTGGCTTTCCATTGATCTTCACACCAATGTACATATGGCCTTTGGCCCTACAAATATGAGTCTTCAATTATTCCATTTTTACCTCTTTCGAGGGAACATCACCATTTTCAGTAACTCGGTGCGGTAGTGTATTGCACCAATGTGAAAATGCGCCAACTACATCCTCATCCTCTTCCGAGTCAGTCTCGCCTTGACAGATAGCTTGTGGGACATCTTGCTTTAAACTCATTCCGCCACTCGCTAGTTGACAGTATGTATTCACCATCCGTTTCTAAGGACACTCTGCCACCCAATACGGTCCTTCACATAAAAAACACATCAATTTAGGAGTGACATCAGATCTGCCCTATGTTTCTTTTCCTTTATTCCAGTTGTTATTATTACTGCCGTTATAGTTTCTTTGATGGCTGTTTTGATAGTTTACCTACAAGTTACTCTGCGGGGTGCCTTAGGCTTCTCCATTATTATGAGAGTAACGATCTCTCCCATTTGAGTTCGAGTTGGGTCTGTAAGGTCTGTTTCCACCTCCAATATATTGACTATTGCCCGAAGGTCGATCTTTTCTCGAGTCACTTAAGCATTCGACTATTCCCATTGTCAGGCTCAAATCTGTAACCTTCTATTTTTGAAGTTTCGTG